CCTGGAAATTTTGATGGGTGAATACTGAAGAAAGAGGAAAGTAACTCCTTTTTCTTCACAGACATTAATGTTTTTGTTATTTGATAAAATGGCAGCAGTTCCTAGATTTGGAGATCTCTGAGAGTCTTATTAAGTGCCATTTACTATGACTGTGCTGTCATCACACTTACCACTTAAAGCTCAGCTTGGTGTAGAGGCAAACTTTTTTCTGTTGCAGTTCAGTATGAATTAATGAATGATTATGCCAGTGCCTAGGACTGCCTATTTCAGATGTAGTTCAGTGCCATTCTGTTTCTTGCAGACTGGTTTCTAGTACTTACTGGATATGAATATCCTTCATGGCCAAACTTAAGTTTTCTTGAGTTCGGATCTTGATTGCTTTCCTTACCCTCATGGCCAAAAGACCATTTGGGAAAATAACAAGGAATTTTCTTAGACATGCTGCTGGTGCAGTGCTTTCTGCAGTTAAAGATAACAGTTAAAGATAGCTGAGGCCGCTATATAGTTCAGTGGATAGAGTAGAGCATAGTGCCTGGAGCCAGGAAGACCTGACTCCAAATACAGCTTCAGACCCTTGGTAGCTATGTGACTTTGGGCAAGTCTCTTAACCTCTTTGCTTCAGTTTCCTCAGCTGTAAAATGGAGATAATAATAGCACCCACCTCTCAGGGTTGTTGTGAGGATCAAATGTGATATTTGTAAAATCACAGTGCCTGGTACATAGTAGATGCTATATAAATTCTAGCTATTATTATTGGCTGTGGTTCATTGGCACAACTAAGGCAAATGGGGTGGCATATTGTCAATAACAGCTCTTAGGAATTGTTGATTTCACCTTAAAAAAACAAAACAAACAAATCTTAACAAAACTTATGCTTAGCATGTATGATAGCATCTTGTTCCTTTTGGTAACAGTTCAGGTCCTGGTGCTTAGGGGTGCTTCAGATAGATTGAGATCTTTGCAGGGGCTTTCCAACCAGGAAATTTAAATCTGCTAGTAGATGTTATAGAAATAATGTTAGAGTTTAAATGTTTAGGGTTCAAGTCTAACCTCTACCTCAGAGGTTCCCAAACTTATTTGGCCTACTGCCCCCTTTAAAAAAAATTACTCAGCATTCCCCTAGAAATCTACTTTCTTTAACCCTTTAATGGTTTTATTGAAAATTTGTGCCATTTCAAAATATACATTTTTTAAAATGATTCATCTTAAATTTAATAATTTATTACAAGTTTGTAGGGTTTTTCCTGCATTGAAATTTTGATGATGCAATATTGCATTGTGTAACCCTATAGTATCATATTATAAAGAAGTCATTACATGCACATATTCCTGACAATGCATGCTTGACTTTGTAACAGGGGGTGACATGATTGCTTGCCAACACTTGCTTGTTAAGACCTGTCAGCTGACTTGACCACTGATCAGTTACATCTTGTATTTTGTGTGTTTATTTGGAAAACAATGTAATCATTATGACTTTAACTCTTTTACATAACAGATGAAATACATAAGAACTTTTAAAAAAAATTTTCTTATCTTCTTTCCTTTCCTTATGCTTCCATGCCCCCATATTTTTATTCATAGCCCCGTAATTGCACCCGAGGCTACTACCACCCCTCTTTCCCCCCATCATTCCAACACCCCCTAGGGGGTGGTATCGCCCACTTTGGGAACCTGTGCTTCTACCTGAATCATGGATCCCTTCTGCAAGAGGCTGTCATTTAGTCTGTGCTTGAAAACCTCCAATGAGAGACAATTCATACTTTTTGTGTATTGAACATATATCTGTCTCCATGTAACTTGTATCCGTTGGTCCTGGTTCTGCCTTCTCTAGCCAAATAAAATTTCATCCTTCTTAATCCTTAAGATATTTTGAAGATAATCAAATCTGTCTCTAACTCCAGAAACTTTTCTTCAGGTTAAACTTCCTTAGTTTTTTCTGTAGATCTTCATATGAGTGAATTTTAAGTCCCCTTACCAGCATTCTTAGTTATCCTGCTGGAGTCACTCTAGCTTATCAGTCATCTTACTAATATGTGGTACCTAGAACTTAATGTAATTATGTATATAACTCAACATCATATATAATGTCTAACAAGAGCAGAGTTCAGTGGGAATGTAACCTCCCTTGTTCTGGAGACCATGCTTTTATTAATGCTGCCTGAGATCACATTACCTTTTCCATCTGCCATATCATATAATGTTGACCTCTATTACAGAAACTCCCAGACATTTTTTGTGTGAGTGTCAGTCCAGCCATGCTTACCACCTTAAATTGGTACAAATTTTTTTTTTTTAACCTGGAGGAAGGATTTACATTTATCCCCCATTAAATTTCATCAAAGCTTTACCTGGTTGATTTCCAAATCAGTTTTTGCTGCCATATATAATACTTTCTTCCACAGCCTCTTTTCTGTGGTTTACCAGACAGAATTCCCAGCTCAGAGGGGAACATTGCTAGAATTATCACCCATACCACTGAATTTGTAGTAGAGACTGTAGCTCCACCCACCTACTTTTGAGTAAGCTCCAGGTTTCAGGGAGGTTAAAAGTATTATTTTCTTCTCAATAGAAGGTTTGGAACTTTTGTCCTAGAGCATAAATATGGTAGACAAATTAGTCTGAAAATAATTTGAGGACTAAATCTCACCAGAGCTCTGGCCCTACTTCTAATAGCTGAGTCCACTTGGAATCTGAATGTCTAGTGAGAAGCATTCTTCTTGCCAGTTTGTAAAAAGATGGTAGAAGGGTATGAACTCTGGGAATGATTCAGGAAGATGGGGCTGAATTGAAGTTTTTGCAGGGGGGAAGGGATCTATTGTGATCCTGTAAAGTGACAGGCCATCTATACATTTATACAAGGTTTGCATACAAACACCCAATGTAGCATTAAGAGAGAGGAAACAGGTGCCCATTAGGGCTTAGTGTCTATAAGGAATTCACCTTCTGAACATCATTTATCCTAGCTAGCAATGACCTTTCTTCCCAATTCTTGGCAATCAGGAATAAAGGGGGAGGCCAGCTGGTAAGGACTTGTCAGTCTCATGCTTTTGGAGTCATTGGTATTGCTATACATCTTGACCTTTGGTTGTGGGAACTAAACAGTTAAAACATCATCATCATTAGAAGGAAACCACTGCTCATGAATGAAGGCAAAGTTTGGCAAGATGCCAAAATAGGCTGAGAAGTGGGGGGGTGGGGTGGCTAACTGACTTTTATGCCACAAACGACTTTAAAAATTAAGAGATAATTCCTTGTCCTGAGGTTATAAACCGGCTGCAACTGGTTTTTCTCTCCTCCCCCCCCTTGCCCCTGCTAGGCATCATGGGTAAAAGTAAGCATCCCCCTGTTCCTTTTGTTTAATATAACAGTACGGCATGTGATTGGCAGGGCAGTGCCCGCTTGGAGACCGGGTTTGTTCAGGTCTCTCAAGGGGGCTGGCACGCATGGGGCCACCCCAGTGCTACAGAGAGGGTTCCTCATACAAAAGAAAAGAGGGGAAAAAAGGAACTGCCCCCCCCAATAAACCAAACTCATTTCTTTCCTTTTCCCACTCTTTTTTTTTGTTGGTATTCCCCTTTCTTGTTTCTCTATTTTTCTGACAACTAGAGGAGGCGGCAGGAAAATGTGTACCTGTAAGTACTTTGAACTGTCCATTTTTTTCTTTTCTTTTCTTTTTTTTTTTTAAACAAAAAGCAGAAATGAAGTCTCTAGTTATCCACAGCCCTTTTCTTGCCATTAGAAGAGAGTGATATGTTGGGGTCTCTGAATGGGGTTCAGGGAATTAACACTATTGCTTTTGAAAATTTTCTGATGTGTTTCTTCTACAAAGCTCTTCTCCTTGGTTCAGCTCCTCATTCTTCCCGGCCTCCCCATTCAGTGTTCTGGTGGGGGTCCCAGGCTTCCAGTCTTCCTTAAGCTGAAGCTTCAAGAGAAGGCTGATACTAAGATTTTTTTTTTAAATATTTCTTTTGTCTGTAGCAGTGATGGGTTTTAGCTCCCCCTCATCCTCCCTCCCCCCCTTTTCTTTCTATGTCAGCTCCAACCCCTCTCTGTGAATGGAGTCAACCAGCTGACGAGGGTGAGTGCTGGCATGATGCCAGGGGCTGCAAAACGATGTGTATGCGCGTGTGTAAGTGTATACAGAGCACAAAGGGAAAGGCCTGCAGTCTAGGAAATCACGGGCTATTATATAAGGAAGCCTGCGTCATCTCTGCTTGCTTGGGCTGATGGTCGAGGGGGGAGGAAGGAGGCTTGGAGCAAGAAAAACACTTTTTGCACCCCACCTTTCCATCTTTCTTTTAAAAAAATGTTCAATTGCAAATAGTGTTGAAGATGGCTTCTCTGACTGGGTGGTAGTGGTCATGTTCCCAATGGAAGTTATCCTTGGGGGTAGGGTGGGGAGGGGGACTAGGAGGTTCAGGCAGCATGGTTTGTGAGTCTCCTCTTGTGTTCAGAGGTATATGTGCTTTGAAAAGAAGTCAGTGCCCTAAGGAGAATGCCTCCTGGATTTAACAGCTGTAATTCATTAAGGAGGCTTTTTATTATTTTAATAGCAAACTGTTTCAGCATTGTCAAGGCAATAAGAAAAAAAGTCTTAAGGAGAAGCAAAATACCAGATAATAGAGCAAATACTGTCTATAGTTGTTCCTTCTTAACCACCCCCCCCTTTTTGTTCTGTCGGGTATGGATATATAGAATTGCATTTTTTCTCTATGCCATCTGCTCTACAGAGTTAGATTTGTACAAAAGGAAACTCAAATAACACATGGCAGGAAGAAAAATTCAGAGGTTGTTCTGGAGCTTCCAGGCATTAGATCTACTATATTTTGGGATTCTTGTTGGACTGGTCATGCATGTCCTTAAAGCACTGAAAGCATTTTCTGTTCCACCATGGTTAAGAGTTGTTTTTCACCAGCATCCTATCACATCATTTGAAAGTTACAATTCTACCCCATTTACCATGATGCCTTTTTTCTTCACTTCTCTTTATTTCCTAGATGGATATATGTGGAGTTTGTCGGGTGGAAATGAGAATTAAAACGTGTTAATGAATAGAGGGGTCGTAACTTTACAGTTGGCTTTATGTGAGTACTCATTTTTATTTGGATCTGATCATTCAGAGCCATAGCACTAATTTGTAAGGGGCTGGGAGTGGGGTAATTACCATCAGTGGAATTGGACTGAAATGACTTGGATTTATATTGGGCTTCAGTGCAGATGGAGCTACCTAGGCTATAGGGGAATTTTTTTTGTTGTTGTTCTTTTGGAGATGAAATTGTGCTTTGTAAGTCTTTCTTCACTACCAAAGTACTATAGGAAGAGCAGCCTTGGTTTAAACAACCTTTTATAAATGTATCTGATTTTTACCTCCTTCTTTGTTGCCAAGTAAGTTGCTCCAAATATCTCTACTTGTTTCCTTTTGTTGGAGAATGCATTTGGGGTTACACTTTTCTTTAAGAATTGTAGGATTAGACCTGCCAGAGCTGCAGGCCTATTCTTCACAAGCTGCCTGAACTTGTTTCCCATTCCTGTGCAGCAAAAGCCCACTCTTCCAAGTTACCTTTACAAATGAATTAAGTTGTTTCACAGTCACTTGATTTCCATACCTTAGTCTGCAGGAAATCACCAAGCAGAAGAAAATCTCTACTAGAGTTGAGTAGCTGAAGTTAGATAGCTTAGTATTCGCATAGAGCTGCAGTGGTACTCCCCTCACTGTTAGAAGCCATAATTACCTTTTTGGGTTGATATTATCCTTTTATAGTATTGCATGGAAATGCTCTCAGTGGGAGCCAGCCATTTTGTATGTGCTGTGTTGAATCAAATTTTACTATTTATGTTGGTGTGTTTTCAATGTAAATGGAACAGAAGAGATGCTTATTTCATCCTTTCCAGTTTTTTTAGTTTAACGTTCTTCCCCCATGCTGATTTTGTTGTACACTAGTGGGTTCAGAGGAACAAATTCACTTAAAAACTTGATTTTGATTTTTGTTCTATTCCTACTTTTAACCAGGAAGAGAGTTTTAGATGGTAGGCTCTATTCAGAGACATTAGTAAAGACAACTTTCTTTTAATGGACAGATAGGGAGTTTGTTTTTTACTTATTCCTTATAAATTTTAGTTGAAATTTACTGATAATCACAGAATTTAAGAATTGGAAGAGACCTCAGAGGCCATCTGCTCTAACCCATACATGAAGGAATCCCCACTATGACACACTGAACCAAGTGGTCATCAAGCCTAGCTCTTCTCAGAGACCTTGAGGGAGTAGTAATCCACTACTTCTTGAGGCAAACCATTCCATTTTTGGACTGCTCTAATTGTCAGGAAGTTTTCTCTGACATCAAGCCTAAATTGGCCTGTTTGCAGAATTTCATATTTATCCATATTGAATGTCATCTTAATAGAATAAGTCCAGTACTCTAGCTGGGGGTTCTTAACATGGGATATTAACTTTTTTTTTTTTTAAGTAACTACTGGGGCAGCTAGGTGGCACAGTGGATAGAGGACCAGCCCTGGAGTTAGAAAGACCTAGGTTCAAATCTCACCTCAGACACTATTTGTGTGACCCTAGGCAAGTCGTTCAACCCCGACAAAAATTTTTTTTTTACTATTTCAGTATAATTTCCTTTGTAATCATATGTGTTTGATGTATTTAAAAACATTATTCTGAGCTTGGGTCCATGGGCTTCACTGGGCCCTCAAAGGTGTTCATGACACCAAAAATATTAAGAATCTTGCCTGTCAGGATCCTTTTGGATCCTGACTTTTATGCAAATAAAGTTTTAAAGAACAAATGGAATCATCTTTTGATCTCCTTCTACCTTGTTCCAATATCACCTGTTTAAAATAGTACTTAGGAGATGTGACTTTCACATCTATCTGATATCATTCATAGAACTGTGTAATCTCAAAATTAGAAAGGAGTCCAAGAAGTCATCTAGTCCAACCATGATTGATGAATCATTGTATTAGATTGTCAGGATACCTTGATAATGATAACAAGGAAAAGAATTTGAACTTTGGAAAGTGCTTCTATCCTCCACAATTCAGTGACCTTCTGAAAGAGGACTGGATTTTAAGTCAGATGACCTCAATTCAAATCCCTATTCTGCCTCTTACCAGTGGTATGACCTAGGGCAAATCATTTAATCTTTATTTCTCTTTCATTTTCTCTCAAGGTTCCTTCCAGCTTTAAGTCTGTGATATTATAGTCTATAATTTGTAATGGTGGGTGGTTTAGGGCAAGGCCTGCTCTTCCTGGGATTTTCCCTTTGATTAACTGTATGGAGAATATGGCCAATGGATTTGTTGTATTGGGTGAACTAAAGGCAAAGAGGAAAAGGTGCTAGGAGGGCAAGTACAGAGCAGTAGACCTTGTGCCCATTCATTTTTGTTTAGAACTATTGTTTTGATAGTCTGGATTTGAGAAAACAAAAATCAGAAGCTCTCAGATGTCATTTTACACATGTGGAAACTGGGACTAGTAGAGATTAAGTGACTTGCCCAAGGGTCCCACAGGTAATAAATATAGCAGAGATGGGATTCGAATCCATTTTCTTTGGTTCCAAATTCAGCATCCTTTCTACTGAAACATACTGTCTTTAATGAAAATACAGAAATAAATGGACCTGTCTCTTGAGCTCATTTTGCTTTTTCAGTGTTTTCCTTATAACTTCCTTGAGCTAATTAATCCCAGTATATGCTGGCTACTGGTTTTGACTTTTGATTTTTTCCACTTCCAAGGTAGATTGCTGTATTAGAGAATTCAGGATTAAGTTTGTAAACCTTAAAATGCTGTATAAATGTAAGTGGTTATTATTGGAAGAGATGGGTTATTGAAACCTAGGGGAAGTTGGTGGGGTTTTTTTTTTTGTTTGTTTGTTTGTTTAAACCAAACATTTTATTGATGTCTGTTGTCTTTACATCACTGTCATTCAGGGGATGGAGGGGGGAGGGGAACGACCCTTAACAGCTATAGAACTCTTTCTTATGATAAAGAAAAATAAGCAAAAACATCTGATGTGGTGACACCTTAAAGTATATATGACATTCTAGTAGACTTCCATCTCTCTCTCTCTCTCTCTCTCTGCCGTGATGAGGGAGCTGTGTTTCATTTTTTGAACCCTCATTGGTTTTTTGGTGATTCAGAGTTTGATTGGCTTTAAGTAATTATTACATTATAGTAAATGCATATTGTTCTTTTGATTCTGTTTATTTGACTCAGTATCTTTTCATACAAGACTTTGCTCATTTTTTTGCAATTCTCATATTCATCATTTATTACAATAATATTCCATTACTTATTCCATAATTTTTTCAGCCATTCACCAATCAGTGGGCACCTACTTTGTTTCCAGTTCATTACTGCCACAAAAAGTGTTGGTATGAATGTTTTGGGGTATATCAGTTCATTGTTACTGTCTTTAACTAACTTGAGGTATATATGTTAATAATAGGATCATTGGGTCAAAGGGTATGGTTATTAGTCACTTTTCTTTGATATTTCCAAAAGTATATTAATATTCTTATGTTCCCTCAGCCCCTCCATCATTGAATCTTACTTTTTTTTGTCATCTCTGCCATTGTGTAGGGTGTGAGGTGAAATGTAGGATTTTTTTTTTTAATGCATTTTTCTTAGTGATTTTAGAGCAATGTTATATATAACCAATGTTATATGGTTATTTGTAATTTGCAATTCTTTTGAAAACTGTTCATATCATTTGACCACTTATCTCTTAAGGTCTTTTTACTATACTCTAGCTGCCTCATAAATTGGTCTGGTTTAAAATGAATCAGAGGAATTTTATCTTCCTGGGTGTCTGGGCTTCTAGGGAATAAGAATGTTGAACCTGGGGAATGGGAATACGATTTTTGGTATGTTAGCTGACAATTCCCATAGGTTATAAAGTTTAGTCAGTCAATAATATTTAAACATCTTTTTTTGTGTGCAGATTTCTGTATGAGAATTATTGTTATGGTCCAATTGTTCAGCCATATCCAGCTCTTCATGACCCCATGGACCATGCTGTCCATGGGGTTCTCTTGGCAAGATACTGGAGTAGTTTGCCATTTTCTTCTTCAGTGGATTAAGGGAACAGAGGTTAAGTGTCTTGTCCAGGGTCACAGCTAGTAAATGTCTCAGGTTGGATTTGAACTTATATTTTCCTGACTCCAGGCCCAATGCTTTATCCACTAAGCTGTCTTCTTGCCTTTTTTTATACCTGTGGATAGGTACAAAAAGAGTAAGTACATCAGCATTGTTAAATAACTTAACAGTCTGCATAGAAAGAAAAAACATAAAATAACATAGACAGGCCCTAAAAAAGAAAATGAATGTTTAGGTGGAGTTAGAACTAGATTTTAATAGTATTTTATTTTTTTCCAATTACATGTAAAGATAGTTTTCATCATTCATTTTTATAAGATTTTGAGTTCCAAATTTTTCTCCTTCCCTGCCTTACCTCCCCCCTCCCCAAGACAGCAAGCAATCTGATATAGGTTATACATGTACAGTCATGTGAAACAAAACATATTTCCACATTAGTCATGTCGTGAAAGAAGAATCAGAACAAAAGGGAAAAACCATGAAAACGAAAAAACAAAGTGAAAATAGTATGCTTCGATCTGCATTCAGACTCCATAGTTCTTTCTCTGAATGTGGATAGCATTTTCCATCATGAGTCTTTTGGAATTGTTAGCGCTAGATTTTAGAAGGAAGGGACATAAATCGGTGGACAGGTGTGGGGATTTAGAGGGTGGGATGCTGGATAGTGAGAAGATGGTGACATATATAAAGAAGAATGAGAGAATAGGAAAGTTGTGTGTAGAAGATAGTGAACAGATTTGGTAGCCTAGAACAGAAGGACCCTGTTTAATGGCAGGTGAGGTTCTGGAGATGGAAGCATTTTGAAGACTAGGTTGAGTTTACATTTGATTCCAACAGGCAATAGTGATCCACTGTAGAAACTTTAAAAATTTTAGCAACTGTGTGTAGGACAACTAGTTGTAGAGGGGGACCGACTGTTCTTTTTTCTGCTAGAGAGTTCTGTTCTAGAGCTCCATCTTCAGCACCTATTTAATGGGG